CATACAGTCTAGCCTTTTTCAATCAAATAACATTAAAACTCAAATCATGTGTATTTACAATCAAACTTAGAGCCTGTACTATAACATGAAACACATATTTGTAGCCTGATGTCATTATAATGGCCTATAGTTTGAGAGTTATTTAAAGTTGGCAGAACAGATGTCTCAAAGTGTATATACAGAATAATACAGCATACATTCTCCACAAATGAGATCTTGTAAAAGTTGAGTCCTGGGAAGTTTTGAGAAATATTTGAAGATGCCGAACACAAATAGTTTGATCAGTGCTTCAATCATGCAGCAAATTTCCTTTTTAGCCTCTAGCTTCATTGAAAAGGCAACTGTCAGACTCAATAAATTCATCTTTAACCTTGTCAGATCTTATATTTTGGAAGTATGTTTTTTGTATTTGTGGTTGGAAAATGATGAGATGATTATTGACTATGACTGCAGTTTGAAACATAACTTGAAATTTGTCTATTTATTTAGGCTCTAGCTGAATTACTGGTACTGCCAAGCGGGATGTATATGACAGCCTAGAAAAACATTGCCAATTTTGTGCTGCTATAGCTTGTCTCCATGGCGATGTTACTGCTTTCTCTGGAATGTTCCTCAGTGGCATTAAACTTCGATCTCCATGGAGACAAGCAGGAGATGTTACTGTTTAGATATGCGGAGAGCCGAGACCAAATAATGCTGTTTTCTAAATTCATTTTTTGTAATAAATACACTTGCAATTGAACAAATGCGAGGTTTAATGCCATACTGTGAAACATTCCAGTCAAATATAACATTTAAAGGGCCCATATTACGCTATTCTATGTTACACTATGTTGCATAAAGTAAATAAACCTGGAGTTTTGTTTTGTTTAAACACACAAATCTTGCATATTTAACACTCTGTTCCACCTTGTGACGCCATGTGGTAATACAGGAAGTGCCCCATTGTGTTTTAAACTCCATACACCTTCACTAGAATCATTTGGATTATTTCAGTCCTGAAATTGCCAATCTCTCCTGAACTAAAGGTAAAAAGGAAGTTGTTAACTCGAAATCTACCACCTCATGACATCACAAGGTGGAACAGAGCATTTTGAGCTTTGAAGATTTAGACAGACTAATAACAAAGGGTTACTCAAACGTGTGTAAATGCAACAAAACATTACTCTAGGTATGTTTTTGATGAGGTAACAACATTATAAACATGCCGTAAAGCTTACAAGAGTCAATTTTGTGTAATGTAGGTCCTTTAAGAACTACAATACTCTAAACAGTGGCGGAGTTAGCAATTTGGGGGCCCTAGGCGAACTTAAATTTGGGGCCCTACTATAATGCACCATTTCAAAAAAGAATATATATATATGTCTATCTGTCTGTTTTTCCCCATTGTTCTTGAGACTTGCAAATCTCTATTGATTTTAATTATGATGGATTGGAAACTTAGTTCGGTTGGCTGCTAAATAACCAAAGCTGAAAGTAGGTTTATTTTTTTGCTGGTACAATTACATTTTTGTTTACATCCATTACATATGATTATTATTTTTATGATTAATGTTTAAAACTAAACTACTCTCATTTAATGTCATACTGAGAGAAAACCAAATTGCTCTGAGGCTTAGTGACACTGAGGGCAATTTGTTGAGGGCCCCTCCAGGTTTGGGGGCCCTAAGCAGCCACCAACTTTTGCCTAATGGTAGCGCTGTCTCTGGCTCTAAATCAAAGTTAGTGAAATCTACAGTAAAATACATAGATGTCATTTTGTTTGCTAACCACCAGGCATGATTCTGATGAGGTAACAGCAATATAATGTAAATTTTGCGTAATATAGGACCTTTAAGCTTGTGGCAGACAACCGAACACTTACTTACTGCGAGTGTTTTATGTGTTTTAAGTGTTTTATATGTATGCAAACTCTTATACCATTTTCCACTCTGTAAAGTCTGAACTGAACATGAGTTTTGTTAAAGCTCCACTGCAAATCTGACAGCGTCCTGACCATTTACATGAGTATTACATAACACCTATCGCAGTTTTTCCACTCTCAGCACATTTTATTTATTACGTCTCTCACACAAAAAACCTCTTTCTCTGTGTTGTAAGACCCAGCTGTCCTCACTCTCTTCACGCAGGCTCAAAATTACGGGTTTTACAACTTTCCTGTTAAAGTCCGGATCAGCCAATGGAAAAACACATAACAAGAGACATGTAACGGGGTATTGTGTAACTTTTCTGGGGAGAATCTGCCACCTTCTTGTTACCGTTGGGATACGCATGATTTTCCGGGATTGTTCCACAGCATGGCATTACACTTCTCCATGGTGATAAGGAGGATCTCTGAAAAGGCTGATTAATGCAGGTTTTAGGCCTGTTTTTGAGCGATAAAAAACAGAAATTGAATAAAGCATGAAAGATGAATTAAATGCCATACTGTGGAACATGCCAGGCAGAGCAATGGCAGACCCTCCACCAGAAAACTCAAGTAATTTAAAGGGCAATTTTGTTGTTAATGAATACTTATTTGTATATTTATATTTTTGTCTCCACTTTTTAGCATAATCCACACTGCGAGACGAATCATCAACTGTCAAATAAAAGATGGATATATAGATTTGTCACTAAAAATATCAAAATTAGATGCCCTGTCTGTTATCCTCACAACTAAATATTTTATATCATGTATACACAAATCTTGTATCATGATATCTACTTCAATGCATTATTTTTATTCCTTATTCCTTATTCCTATATATGTTATGTTTTATCACTATCGTTGCGGTTTATTTTCATGAGATTGCTTTTATTATTATCAGACTAAAGTGGTACTCGGTCAAGTTATTTCCTACACCGATTAAAGTGTCCTATATTACACTAAACTGACTCTTGTGAGCTTTAAGCCATGTCATAATGCTGTTATCTCCTCACAACAGACCTGGAGTTGCGTTTTGTTTCATTCATACATGTTTGAGTAGGGTGACTCGATTTTCAAAATAAAAAAAACTAGGGCACCCCGGTTTCTGGCTGGTAATAGTAAAATTGTGAAACGAGTGCGTAATTAAGGAAAATTGTTCTGTGCTCAGCCCATTCATGGCTAACATGTGAGTCATAGTATAGTCACATTTTCTCTGTGTTTTGGTCATTTTTAAGCAGCTTTTCTGTGTTTTCCCCAAACAGATGCCAATTTATGCCTTGCTTTACTGTTGGCGAGTATCTTGGCAGGTAAAATATAAGGACACCTGGGACATTTCTTGTATAAAACTGGAACAAATCACTGGTTTTGTATAAATCTGCTGAAACAGGGGACACAGGGCTCAAAACCGGATAAATAGGGATGTCTGGTCACCTTTATTATTAGTGTGTCGACATCTCCAAAGCTCAAAATGCTCTGTTCCACATTGTGATGTCATGTAGAGGTAGTTTTCAAGTTACCTCAGCTCTTTTACCTTTTGTTCAGTAGAGATGGTCAATTCCAGAGCTGAAATCATCCATATTATTCTAGTGAAGGTGTATGGAGTTTAAAAACACTTATATTACTACAGGACATCACAAAGAAGAACAGATTGTTTTCAGTTTGAGAGAAGAACTCAGTCTAAATATGCAGAATTTGCGTGTTAAACATCTGTGAATGAAACAAAACACTCCAGGTCTGTTTTTTATGAGGAAACATCATGACATAGATCCGGAAATAGACTAATATGGGTCCTTTAATAAGTTTAAAGTCTAAAATCATTCAGTCTTTAGCTCCCATGTTATTCTTACCCCCTCTGCCTTTTCTAATAATGGTAGTTACATAAGCATTCTCAATAAAAGTCATTGAAAGAGCCCTACTTGCAGCCATTTTCAGCCCTGACATTGACTTGCCAATTTCACTTAGCCTTTTATTTTGTGTGCGTGGAAATCTTGAGTCACTTCCCTCCGGCCCTTGCGTCTTGGCACTGCGGGAGCCGAAGCATTACATCATCTCTGAAGAATGAGCAAACAATGTGAAAACTGGATTTGATTAAAGACGAGAGCAGGAGAGCACCTCCCCGCGATCGTGTTCATCTGGTGCTTCATAAAGGAAAACATGAGGCGAGATGGGGCATGTTTCGGAGCAGATATCTGTGTAATGTCTCAGTCATCTGGGTATGCAGGTTCCGTAGCAAAAATGACTTCACTCTTAAACTTTTGCTCTGTGGAGAGAGTTACATTTTCTTTTGCTATTTTGAGCAGATAGCGATTTTTTAGTCCAAAAATTTAAATGAACTTGACTGTATTATTAATTATGTCACCTTTTTCCACCTAAATGTTGATAGTAGTAATTAAAGGTGCATTACGTGACATTGCACTACCTCTTTGTGTCCGTGGATATGTCATTGCTTTGCCAAGATGTTCCACAGTATGGCATTAAACTTATCTCTATAGACGGCAATACCAGGCCAAGTTACAGGTCAGGTCTGTGGAGAGGCAACTCCCGAATGCACATTTTTCAAGGTATGAGCAATTAAAACGACTGATAACATTCAAGACAGAGACGTTTAATGCCATACTCTGGAACTTTTCAAGCAAAGCAATGATTTCTCCATGGTAATCGTAGTAAAAGTAATAAGTTTAATTAAAAAATGCAATCTGCAAAACAAGAATTTTATGAATAAAAATTGACAAAGGCCTAACACGTGAAGTTAATTTATGACATGCAACAATCAATGCATCTATACTTTTGTTTTTGAAGCTGTAGTTCCTCAAATTTAGCACTTTTATGAAATTTATGATGGCCATGACAAACTACTGTGAATGTTTGGTTTGTTTCAGTTTTTCACAATTGACAGTTTGTTTAGAACTAGTTTTAAGTGGTTTCCAAATCTATCTGCAAGGGAAAGTTGAAAATAAGTATTGTGCCATGGAGGAATGGGTATCAAATAGTAAATAATAGTGTTTTGCTGAGAAAAACAGTACAAATTGCAATATATTATTGCAAAATATCTAATAAATTGACCTGAAGGTTGGTAAAGAATCAACCACACTTATGTAAAAACATTTATTATTGAGGATGTTTTATGTCAGCAGTGCTTTTTAACCATAACATACATCAGGACATATAACCTTGGGGCCCATTTTCCACCCAGATCTTTTTTTAAGGTACAAATACCTCAACAAACAGCGGCCCCTAGAGGAAACATAAGACTGTGCACTTATCAATTTGAGATGGCGTTTTACAGTTAATATACATTTTAAGGAGTACAGTATTAACAAGCAAAGTCTTTTAGCTGAAACTCCACCGTTGAAAGCACAATGAAAGGAAAAGAACAGTGAAGTTACAATACAAAAATGGTGTTAAAAAGGTCCTATATTATGTTTAATTTACATTTTGTGAGTCTTTAACCATTGTAATGTAGTTTCCTCATTAAAAACATACCAGAAGTTGTATTTTGTTTTGTTCTTTTCATGTTATCTTCCAAACTTACAGTCCCCCTGTCCCCAGAGCTAGAAACGCAAGGTCCCACTTCATGATGTCATAAAGTGGGGCTCCAGGTAGGGCTCCTCGGCATTTTTTAAGTCCATAAACCTTCGCTGGAGTTAATATTTGGATAATTTCAACACTAAATGCCTTCCCTACACATCTAAACCACTTCAGAAAGAGGAATTGATCGATTTTAGATTTCTATACATTTTCTATACTTTCTTATAAAGGTGCAGTATGTAACTTTTCTGATAACGAGTCCACCACCTGCTTGTCCCCATGTCTGTCACCATGAAGACAAGCACTCTGCACCACCAGGCCAAGTTACAGGTCAGATCTGTGAAGAGACGATCTCGCTCACAGTAGAATTAAGTATTTCAAGGTATTCTTTTTAGCAATATAAACACACTTTAATACCATATTGCGGAACTTTCCAGGCAAAGCAACAAGTTCCTTTATAGAGACAGCAGGTGGTAAATCCTCAGCTGAAAAAGTTACATAATACACCTTTACCTTAAACTGTTCAAATAGTTCAAAAAGACTCCATCGTACATAATATAGGACCTTTATAGTGATGATTTCATGCCAGTACAATGTTCCTATTACACAATATGTACATGCTTCAAGTAACTCTGCTTCAGTGTGGTGGTTGGTGTGAAGTCAATGAGTTTCCACAAAAAAACAGAAGTTATAATGCAATGTTAAGATTTGCATAAAGTACAGTGGTGTGTATGTGCAGATTAGACTCATCTTAACCGTCTGTTCCAGTACTGAGAAACTGCAAATGTGTCTTTGGCTTGGTTCAGATCTGCAGAAAACAGCTGGTTTGTTAGAGGGATAGAGCAGATTTAAAACAGGAGGACAGATATCAATAAAATAGATATAAAGTTAAAGGTGCATTGTGTAACTTTTCTAATGGAGGGTCTGTCAAATGCTTTTCGTCGCAGATGTTATTGCTTTGTCTGGAATGTTTCACAGTATGACATTAAACCTTTCTATTTTGATGGAGACCAAAGCAGACCCAGTTACAGGTCAGATCTGTCACAATGTCTGTTTTTCTAGATATTTTTGAGCTATAAAACCACTTGTAATTTAATAAATGTAAGATAGAGCTGTTTAATGCCATACTGTGGAACATCCCAGGCAGAGTAATGACATCTATAGAAAAAAAACAGGTGACAGACCCTCCACCAAAAAGTTACACAGTGCACCTTTAAATATGTAGAAGCAGACAGGACTTATCTAGAGTAGACTGATGTGTTATGTAACTTTACTGAATCAAATTGAATGATCAAATTATGTGTTTTTTAAACTGAAATTGGATTTGGATGCAAACATGGGGAATTGGGAAGGCAATGCTTAGTCTTACTTCTTGGTTTCAATGAATACTTGGTCTTTTACTAAAACATACAAGTATATATTTTTAATGCTAAAATTAAATCAAAATTAACATCTCTACTGATCCAAACTGGGCAAATTTACAACTTCGCCCCACTATATATACAGTATGACTTTGGTTTAGGCCTCAAATTATATCTTATGAGTTTTTTTAATAGGTTTTTCTAAAGATATCCTCCATCTTGTGATCTAAAAAGGACTTTGTTGCTAATGGACAACAGCTTATAGCCCATGTTATTTCCTGTCTGCTTCTCTATACTTTTACTTAAATTGGACGACATAAAAATTTTATAATTATCTGCCCATTACCTCAGATAAACCCTTTAAAAACCGCACTATCCTTTTAAATAATTCATCAGCCTCTTGTCCAGTCTGTTGTGAATATTTCAAAAGGCTCAAATCAATTCAAGAACACAAATTTTGTCTGTTAAGTTACATTATTACCCAGCCACTTCAAAACAATGTATTGATATTTTGCAGCAACATTCGCTGGGGGTGTGAAGCTAACGGGAAGCACTACTCTGTCTGCAGCTCTGTTACTCAAGTTAGACTTGATCTGAGTTTTATTTTAATAAGGTTTGACCAGAAAAAGCTGATTTGGTTGGAACTACAATACTCGTATTGATCACAGGCTCCTGAAAATGTGCAGTTTAAATCCATTTTGTATCTTTTCGTCAGTGTTTGCCAACGTGTGCATTGTGTCACCATGGTAACTGCTACATGTATCTCAAAGTTGGAATGTTTAGAGCACCCCCGGCACGATGCCACTGCGAAGTATCAATATTTACGCACATTGAAATGAGTTTTAAATGGTATACAGTACAATCTATTTTTGATGAAGGAGCTTGTTGTGCAGTACAGTGGTAGGCTATAGCGTGACACAATCAACAGTTTTAATCAATGCAAGCGGCCCATTCAAAAACGCAGTCATTTTATATTAGTTAACTCATATAATTGATGTATTTCGTACTATTGGTCCTTACTTAATTCCCATGATTACAGCAAAACATATATAAAATTGGACAGATCATATTGAAGTCTTGATAAGGGGCAGATGAAATGAAAACGACTAAATAAAAAACTAAAGGTTTTTACAGCAAAAACAACATTAAAATAAACATAAACAAAGGTATAAACATTAAGTGTGGAGAGGGCGTTTCCAGTTTTTCCCTTGTTTTCCGACCCACGTGCCGATGCTCCGCGGTTTGGCACAGAGTGAGATGACCGGAGCGATGGCTGAAATAAGCGACGAGATGAAGAAAGGTGGTGCTCAGAGGTCGCCCTCCACTCGCCTCCTGCGCACTGGAGAGACAGAGGGAGACGGAGACAGAGAAAGAGAAGAAGAGAGAGATAGAGAGGGGGAGAGAAGAGGGAGAAGTGTGTGTGTGAAAGAGGGTGAGGAGAGAGAGGAGAGAGAGATAGAAAGGGGGAGAGAGAAGAGAGGACAGAAGGAGAGAGTGTGAAAGAGATTAAGGAAAGAGAATGGAAAGAGAGAAAGAAAGGTAGAAAGAAGGGAAAGAGGGCATCGAGAGAGACAAGGGAAAGAGAAATGAAGAGACAGAGAGAGAGGAAAGAGATAGAGAAGGGACAGAGAGAGAAGAGAGGTAGAGAGAAAAAGGAGAGAGTGTGTGAAAGAGGGTGAGGAGAGAGAACGGAAAGCGAGAAGAGAGCGAGACAGGGAGAGAAGAGAGGTAGAGAGAGACAGAAGTAGAGTGTGTGAGGAAGGGAGGGAAGAAAGAAAGGAAGGGAGAGAGAAAGAAAGAGGGGGCATGTACAGAGATAAGGGAAAGAGAAAGGAAGAGACAGAGAGAAGAGAGGCAGAGAGAGACAGCAGGAGAGAGTGTGTGAAAGAGGGCGGGGGAGTAGAGAGAGATAAGAGAGATAGAGAAGGAACAGAGAGAGAAGAGAGGTAGAGAGAGAAAGGAGAGAGTGTGTCAAAGAGGGTGAGGAGAGAGAAAGAGGTGGCATGGAGACAGACAATGGACAAGAGACGGAGAAAGGGGGGAGAGAGAAGATGGTGAGACAAAGACGGGGGGAGAGAGGAAGGCGAGGAGAGAGGGAGAGAAAGGGAGAAAGAACAATGGTTATAGAAAGTGAATAAAAATATTCCATTGTTTAGACTTGCGTTTGCATAGTCCCACATTTGTGCAACCAAAGTAGACGCTCACACATGCAATTCTGATTCTACTTTTCTGTGATAAAAATGTTAATAAATTGGTGTAAAAATCCATATTCTTCAAGAGCATTCAAGAAACACATGCCATCGAACATTTTTGACCCATATGAATTCACCGAACCCACAGCACTAAGGATAATTATTATACTTCCTATTATTGTGTACAAAAATTTCCAAGGAAGTTGTCGTGATCTTTGTCCTCAAGTGTGCAAATACTGGTCCAGTTTTAAAGATGCACTGTGTAACTTTTCTGGTGGAGGTCTGCCACAACACCTGCTTGTCTCCATGGAGATAACACCGTTTGGCCTAGATTATTCCACAGTACGGAAATTAACTTGGTAAATTCCTATAGGAATTCATGTTTTTTAAGGTATTTTGGAGTTATAAAACACCTAGAAATTAACACATGTATGGGAGATTTATGTTTAATGCCCTACTGTGGAACATTCCAAGCAAATAAATAACATCTCCATGGAGACAAGCAAGTAGCAGACTCCACCATAGTTACATACTGAACCTTTAAGCAAAGAATTTGAAGGAATTAGTAATTTCATTTTTTTGGAGTACTTTCTTCCTACGCAAAATCATTATTCGCGTCATCCTCAAGCACAAGTCATCGTATCAGCATCAAAACATCATTGGAAACGTCTAAAAATAGTCTAGGTTTCTTTGTTTCACTCGTAAAAAATTACACAGTGGAAAATCACTCATTCATGCGTTTCACTCTTTGACCTGTAGGGGGCTGTTAGTTCAAAGTGACTGGTCTTAAACTATGTGGTAAAAGTTTTATGTGTTTAAAAACAGCAGTGTGCCGTGAGTGAACTCCTCTATTACAGCGTGAACACAAAACGCTGAAAGAAAACAATGTTAGTTTGTCACACCCCATGCTCCAGACCTGTACCGTGAGCGCTTTGAAGAGAGGGGAGGCTACAAGAGAAAGCAAGTACTTAAATAATGAAGTACAGTAGGTGACAATGTACAATGAACTAAAGTGTGTAAAATGTATGTTAAAGCTACTATCTGTAATTAGACTGGCTGACCCTGCCCTGTTGCATTCTCACATATCATATCACCACTAGATGCTATCTACGTTACTGCTGTCTGTTGTGCTTTGACCGGAGAGCACAGGTGAGTCTGAACAAAGGCCAGGTGAGGGGAGGGGGCAACAAGGGTCATATCTGCCATCTGCTGCTTAAAAAAAAAATACATCAAATACAGTTCAGATGGTAGCTTTAAAGGGACAGTCCAGAATTTTGGACATAAGACCTAATTTTCTAGTTAGGCAGGGTGTTGGAGACGTGTGGAGACACTTTTACTTTGTATTTGCAGAGGTTGCTGGTGTTAGGCTAGAGCATGTCAATGGCCATAGTTAGCCAGACACTAAAAACAGTCTTACCCACTCCACAAAACACCCGAAGCAAAACAATTATAACGCCAGACTGTCAATGTGAATGTCTGTGTTGATAGAATAATTTTAGAAGTAAAACCAACCTTGCATTTGAAGGATTTATATCTGAGCAGCAGCAGCAAGTTGTACTTCCTAATAGAAAGCTTGGAAGCGGCGGAATGATATCACATAGCACCTATCTTACCTGCAAAGTAAAATTCTGCTGTTGCTGAGAAAATAGTCCCTCAACATGCAACGATTCATACGATGCAAGGTTAGTTTTATTTCAAACATTATTCTATCAGCACAGACATTCACACTGATAGCCTGCAGTAATAATAGTTTTGCTTTGGGTGTTTTGTGGAGTGGGTAAGACTGTTTTTAGTGGCAGGATAACTATGGCCATTGACATGCACTAGCCTAGCACCAGCGACCTCTGCAAATACAAGGACTGGCTGAAATATTTTTAAAAAAGTGTCTCCACACATGTCTCCAACACTCTGGCTAGAAGTGAAAATGAGATCCTATGTCCAAAACTCCAGATTGTCCCTTTAAGAACAAAACTAGGCACTTAAGTATAAACACCTCAACGAAGGCGCTGATCTAATCCCGCAATGGTAATAATGCAGTCCCCAGACCTGGACTTGCCCTCAATCTACTTATGTTTTTTGATTAAAATAAAAAAAATCCATATGTCTAGTAATCTAAAAAATACATACATAATTTTTTCTTTAGCAAGCCCATTTTTTTTTCTGTTCTCCAATATTAAATCAATGGGCAAAGATCTCTAAAGCATTGACTCAGGTAATTAGCAACCCCTAATCTTGACTACCTGGAGTTAAAATATCTATCTGAACCAAAAGATTTGCTAATGTCATAAGAACTATGCAAACTAAACGATTCATAATTCAAGATTTAACAGGGGTAAATTGAGAAAAAAATAAGTCTAAATAAAACAAACTGGGACTTCACAAATTCTAAACTCAAATTTTTGTACAGATAGGTCTTCACTAAACTAAAAGCCACCACAATTAGAAATCCACTAAACTGAATCACATGTAACTAACTACATCTTTATTACAATACAACATCTGTATAGTAACATTTCAGAATAATATATGGAAACACATATAACACAACAGAACATTTGAGCCTTAAAGTGATAAACTTCCTCTTACCCAGGTCGTTGTTCTTGGTGATGGCTGCAGCAGCTCGAGATCTTGGTCCTTGCTGAGTAAAGTGGTAGCCAAACTTTATTATCGTGTGGTTTTCTTCCAACATTTTCGCGATCTCCATCTCTATAGTTGTGCCGAGCTGTTGCCTCTGAAAAACAAAATATGTACATTATTTAAATTGGCCTGTACTAGATTTAATTCCCATGTATCTGAACACAAATCTGTTTTGCCCCAATACAGATCCATGGTATAAGCAGCTCTTGAGGTCAAAATAAGTCTGCTGTGTCCTTTCTGTGTGTAATTATAAAGCATGGTATTGTTCAATAATCAGTAAGTGTGTGTTTGCATGCTAGTTATTGTTAGCTTTACTGCCACAACAAAAGTCTGCGCTGGTCTATGAGAGTTGTGAAAAATTAGTACGCTACGAAAGCATAAGGTAAGTGGCCCAAAGTTATTCAGTACCAAATTGGATCACTGCAAACTATGGTAGTTCTGTTTTCCACATTTTTAATACTTGAATAATCTTAAGTGTGAATGGCGAGAAGTACCAGTAAGAAGACAATGTTGTACAATAGTAGGTGTAGATACTGTTAATAGTTACCTCTGCAGTATCACGGAAGTAAAGTTTTTGCGTCCTGGTGATAAAAAACGCTGATTTTGGTCAAACTGGTTCAGACTATGGTGGCTCAAATACTTCTTATATATTAATAATTTTCTTCAATTCATTTTGTGGAGTTTAATATCACTTTTTGCCTGTATTTTGTCTTGAACTTTTGTCTTTGTCTTGAATGTAGTTACTTTTTATGTTCTGTAAAGCAACAAAATGAGTCTAGTCCATGTTCTTTTTAGACTATGGAGAGAATTTCAGACTATGAGACTATGGGGGGCCACTGTAATCATTTCTGGTAATAGGAAACACTTGTACAGGTATATACTAGTACAGTTCACGTACCGGCATAGTACCTTCAAGTACTAAAAACAACTTTATCTAGTGCTTACCATGATATTTTTTTTCTATTTGTTAAGACTGACAGCCAAATCATGGGTCATGACATTTAGGATTGCGCTGCTATCTGATAAAAACAGTAGTAGCATTGTAATAGGACAATTATAAAACAACATGTCAATTGTTATTCAAGCTAAGAGACTATTTAGCAGCGTTTAACTTGCTGAACCACTCCTCGTGGTTTTATCTGGTTTGTTTGTTTTCTTTGGCAGAGACTTGACCTGCTCCAGGAAGTGTGTGGCCTCAGTAATGCACCAGGCTTCCTCATACTTTAATAATGTCCTTCATTAACAGGGACAGAACCAAAACAATGACTGTGAAAAAAAAACAGATCTGCAGTGAATGGCTCAAGGAGATTTCCGTTTCAATTTTAACAGAATAAAATACCACCTAGACTCTGCACACGATATTAAAATCAAAGTATGATCAAAGTATGGTTGACTGGATGACTATTTAAAAAACTTATGCAGTCAAAAAAATGTCAAAACTACAGTCAAAGCAATAAATAATTATGCTACTACTTGTGATTTATGTTCAATAGGCCTAGTGTTTTTGAACTAATGTGTATATATTTAAAAAATTATGTGACTGAAGGGTGTGCAAAATATAAAAATACTAATATATATCACAATTTGTTGAAATCGAATCCATTCTGCTGTTTCAATATATCTCCATGGATATTTTTTTTTGGTACATTTCACAAAATTAAGTTGTGGCAGCACTTAAACGAGAGATATGCAGTAGAACCACCCACGCAATATATAAATTACCACATGTTCTTCCTGTTCCTTTTGTTCGAGCCAATAATGACAAAGCACGTAAGGGATGAAAATGCATTTATGTTATGTTTACATTTATATAATTATGCTTTATTTGACACCAGCCTCTTGTTATTTTTGCTACTTATTTTTAATTTATTATTACAATTTTTTTGTTCTTTGTTATTATAATTTATTGTGATGTGAGATACTGTGTCCAAATAATTTCCTTTGTTTAATAGTTAATAGTCTAATTGTATGATTTTTTTGTTGGTTGTTTTTTGTTTGTTTTTTTTCTTTAAATGGATGCCAACAAAATGAAATGGCATGAGCAATAAATAAAAACAAACAAACAAACAAACATGTACCATCATTTCTAGGGTGACCAAATTAACAAAATCAAAAACTGGGACACTCCCGGTTTGGAGTGGTTGGTAATAAGAAAACTGTGAAAGGAGTGTGTAATTAAGGAAAATTGTTATGCACTCGGCCCATGTGAGTCAGTATAGTTACATTTTCTTTGTTATTTGGTCATTTTTAAGCATTTTACCTAAATAAATGACAGTTTATGCCTCTCTTTACTGTTGGCAGGTATAAAACTGGTCTAAAATAGGGACACCTGCGACATTTCTTGTATAAAACTGGGACAAATTACTGGTTTTAGATAAATCTGCTGGGATAGGGGACACAAAACTGGGGCTCAAAACTGGGACTGTCCCAGGGAAATAGGAACGTCTGGTCACCCAAATCATATCATATATTATAATATCATGAGCCACAAAAAGTACTGAATCATGAGGGACCCTGTGATTCTCAACCCCATTACGTATGCTATTCAAGATATGAACAAGGATTACAAGAAAAAGTGAGTGTTTTGCATTTTTAATTATAATAAATATATTTGTTGAATACCTGGTTGTCTATTTTGATCTCTGTGAGTGCATCGTTGTCCCTTAGAGCCTCCACCAGAGCTTTGATCCCGACTCCTGTGATGAAGTTTGACTCGAGATTCAAACTCTTTAACGTTTTATTCTCCCTCAGCATGTCACCGAACGCCTGCAACAAACAGGAAGTGAAGCAATGCATTAAAATAACATGTGAGAAGAGAAGACAACGACTTCATAAATATAAACAAAACATCACCACAGCGATGGGGTCGTTGCTCCGCGTCGCCGCCAGACTGAACTTCTTGACGTGTGTGTTGGTCTCCATGGCTTTGGCCAAGTCTTTCAACGTGGGAATGGGAATGTTCTAGGCAAAAAGATATATAATGTGGAAATTAGGGCTGAATAATGTTTCTCCTCATGTTGACCAATCCTAATGTTTGATATTGTTTTATACAGTCTTATTAAAACTAAAACTAAAATGCAGCATAATGTTCATTTCCTAAACATAAACAAGACAGAAGTGAGGTGACGTTTGTGAATGACTGGCTATTTTGAACAGTTCCTTAAAGGTGCACTGTGTAACTTTTCTAGTGGAGGGTCCGTCACATCCACTACAAAAGTCTCTGTGGAGATGTTATTGCTTTTTCTAGAATTTTCCATGGTAAAAATTAAACATATCTCTCTCAAGGGAGACAACTACAGGCTGCATTACAGGTCAGATCTGCAGAGAGGCAACACTATTCACATTGCGAATTATTGCACTTTTGAGCAACAGAAACACCCGTAATGAATAAATGCTAGATAGTTGCGTTTAATGACATACCGTGGAACATTTCAGGAAAAGCAATAACATCTCCATGGAGACAAGCAGATACTGAACCCTCCACGAGAAAAATTAAGCTATAATTACGCTAAGGATTGGAACGGAATCAATTTTTTTTTAATATATATAATTTTGTAATTTTGAGGGAATGGATACCCAAGAAGTGAGTCCTTTTCTTTCTAATTTATGCAATTTTACACTGAACCAACAGAATAATCAGAACAGAAGCAGAGCAGGCAACTTGAGTGAGAGCTTTGTGCACAAAACACATATTTGGGGTCATAATAACAGTTTTTTGTTGTTGTTTTTTTTCCACTTTTCTAATTATAGTGAAACATTTTATTTAGAATTCAAAGGGTAAACACGCACACCCACTCTTAGTTTGAAACATTTAAACAAGTCTGAGCCCTGGTCATTTCTCTCTGTGATTAGTTTGTATTAGTTCTCATGTTGGTTTCTGTCATATAAATAAATAGTAAAAGAGCCAAAAATAGAGTCTTTTGAATGGCTCTTTGAAATGAACAGATGCAAAAGATTCAGATCCTCTAAAAGAGTCAAACGTTTCAAATTGTGACCGAATGGCCCAAACGTTATAATTGTGAATAAGAAATGACTCTTGTTCTTAATTACTAAAATCTATTTTCCTGCACAGCTCTATTGGTTAGTAATTCATGGTGCATTGTGTAACTTTTCAGGTGGAGTGTCCATCAAATGCTTTGCTTCATGGAGATGTTACCGCTTTTAAACTTTAACCATTAAATCTTTCTATTTTCATGGAGACCAAACTAGATCAAGTTACGGGTCAGATCTGTGGAGAGGGAACCCCGCTCACAGTCAGAATGCCTGTTTTTCTAGCTATTTTTGAGCGGTAAAACCACCTGTAATTGAATAAAAGTAAGGTAGAGCTGTTTAATGTCACACTGTGGAACTTTCCAGGCAGAGTAATAACATATCCATAGAAACAAGCAGGTGACCAACCAAAAAGTTACACCGTGCACCTTTAAAAAGTTCAGATGGAGTAAATTACCTTGATGTTGTTGAGGTTGACTTCTGTTAAAGTGCTGTCATTGCTTTTTATCCTCTGCAGAGTTTCCTCGACGTTCGTGGGATTCGGAGGCTCATCGAAAACCGGGGTCATTTTCTCTCCTTTGACCACATCTGAAAATGAGAAAACAGAAATTTGACAGATTTGTACCACTTAAAGATCCTATATTACGCAAATTTGACTCTTGTGAGCTTTTAGCCATGTTATAATGTTGGTAGCTCCTCAAAAACATACCTGGAGTTGTTTTGTTTCATTTACACATGTTGGAGTAACCCGTTAATATTAGTCTGTCTACATCTCTAAAGCTCAAAATGCTCTTTTCCACCTTGTGATGTCATGTAGCAGTAGTTTTCACTTTCTATATTACTGGGTTTGTGTGTTAAACATGTGTGAATGAAACAAAACACAACCCCAGGGATGTTTGTGATGAAGAAACAACATTATAACACAGAAAATAGTGTAATATGGACACTTTAAAGCTTATATTATACCACACATATTTAATTCATGACGTATTTCATAACTCACTGTTGTAGCCCTCCTTGCTGCTGCCGTCGTAGGACTGATTATTGCTGACCAGTGTGTGAACTCCCAGGATCGCTGTAAACACGAACACAGCCAAAATCAGCATGTCCACTTCCATTTAAACACATGTAATTTAATAATGCCGTTTGCAGACAGTGGTGGTACTTTGCACGCTGGGAGTCGTATTAACAAACACAGGGGCTAATGTGGAGGTGAGTGGAGTCATGGGAAACAGAGCTGAGGAGAAGAGAGTCTGTGTAGGGACCTCCCAGTGGTCTACAGGGTCAGGCTCCGTCAATGATTCTCACCAAAATATCCGGCTTTCTAATGACTGCCATCTAGAGAAAGTTGATCTCATTTGGTGAATCATTTGTATATTTTCTAAAACTATTTAACTGAGTTGGTTTACATAAGGAGCCTATTTTAAGCTTTAATCACGTAGCAAGTTTATATTTGTATGTTTATAATTATTGAGATCTCCCTTTGCATCCCAAGCAAACTGTTAAACAATTCTCAAAATCTATTTACAAATACTTGTTTTTTCAGAACCAAAAAAGAAGACAAAGAATTTCATGAATGCAGTAAGTCATTGTCAAAACTACTAGTAATATCTCGCAGTAAGTATTGGTATTAGATCAGTAGTTTCAGCCAGTTTCAGCCAATAGAAGGTAAAGTACCAGTTTTTGTCTTATTATATCCCTAAATAAGAAGTAGTAGAATTAATATATTATACCTTAGTGAAAGAGAAGTTTTAGTGTTGTAACAGTAACTGTAAAAGTTGGAAGTAAAATGTTGTAGTACTGTGTAGTAGTGATAGTACATATTGTAGTACTAGTAGTTGTAGTAGTATTTGTTTGAGTAGTTGTAGTAGAAGTAGTAGTAGTTATAGTTGCTATGGTACCTGTAGTAGCAGTAGCTGTAGTAGTAGGAGTAGTAGTAGTAGCAGCAGTAGAAGTAGTAGTAGTAGTAGTAGTAGAAGTAATAGTAGTTATAGTAGCTGTTGTAGATGTAGTAGTACTAATTGTAATAGAAGTTGTAGTAATTGTTGTAGTTGTTATAGTAGCTGTAGTAAAAGTAGTAGTAGTAGTAGTAGTAGTAGTAGTAGTTGTAGTAATTATAGTAGAAGTAGTAGTTGTAGTAGTTGTTATAGTAGCTGTAGTAGTAGTAGTAGTAGTAGTAGTAGTAGTAGTAGTAGTAGTTACAGTAGTTGTTGTAGTAGCAGTAGCTGTAGTAGTTGTAGTAGTTATAGTAGTTGTAGTAGAAGCAGTAGTAGTTTTAATAGTGTTATTAATAGTAGTTGTAGTAGTAGTAATAGTAGTTTCTGACCTGCCAGGTCACGCAGCTCTGCGTCTGTGGCGCTGGATAAGGCTTCCTCTATTTCTGGGTCGAGGGTCGTGACCTCTTCATTGCGCGTTTCGATTGGTTTCTGCTTCGGGACAAAAACTTTACCTACAAAAAATGAGAGAGACAAAACACCTGGAGGTTATTCGGGTATAATAACAATCTTTGTGCCTGCACGAGGGCACTTTACACCTTATATACAAGTATTTGATTGATACAAGAAAAGGAAGATATATGTGGACTAGGGCTTTAGGTAAGTTACACATTTAATTAAACTTGCTTGTCTTTATGGAGACTTTTTTGCTTCACCTGGAATGTCCCAAAGTATGGCATTAATTGTATCTATCGTCTACGGATTGTTTTCAAGCAAACCTGTAAAACATGAATTCTCTGACATGTAACTTTGAAAGATGGTTCCGCTTGCTTGTTTCCATAGAGACACAAAAGTTTCACAGCATTGATGAGCTTCATTTGACTGGAGTCGAACGCTTTGGGTGACGTCACACTCCCTTAGTCCACCTCTTTATTGTCTATGGTATACAGAGGCAAAAATAAGTCTGCAGTGTACGGTCTCCATCTAAAATATAAAGCGCTTTATTGAGAGTATCAGGAAGTGCGCTTATAAACTCTAAAATAAATAACTTTGGATGAACAGTTTAAAATGAATTTGTTCTGTTATTCACATTTTAAGAATCTTTAACCAAACTCCTTCCCAACAGCTAATGACTTTGGCACAGGGCAGCTTTATGGGAAAAGGGAACGAAAAAAAAACCCTCTAAAGTCATAAGACAAAAGAACCATGTGAGAGATCGAGTTTATGCCAAAAAGTGGGGGGAAAAAAAACACATCTAGAAGAAATCACTCCACAATTAATAGCTCTACACCCAAAAGCTAATCTGTTAGGGTTAGGAGATTTTTATGAAAGCTATTAAAAGACTATGTTGGGTTTTAGAATAATTAAAAACGTACTAGACCAAAGAAAGGATTATGCAGTAGGAAACTTGGAGGTTGGAGGAGGTGACGGGATACACCATTTCAGGTTAAAATCATCTGAAACGCCGATGTACTTCCAGGAAAAAGAAAGTTAAAACCATACGTCGGAAGATTTACCACAGAGATATCTAAGTTTTATGTAATTTATATGGAATATTATAAGCAAAGGAACATAATTTCCAAGGAGACAAGCAGGAGGAGGTTCATCTCAAGGCCAAGTGAGTGTCAGGTTTGTGGAGATGCAAGCATGCTCACAAGGATACATGTTTTTCTACATTTTTTGGTGCAATAAAAACATAAAAAATGGAAAAACATGCATTAATTTAAGTCTATTTTGGTTAAAAAGTTACACTGTGGGGCTTACATAATACATAAGACTTCCATTCATACTGTGACTTTACAGTAACAGCCATCGTAAACTGTCCCCTTCGATGACTGTCCAAAAACTACGGAAATTGTCATGGTAACCGATTTGAGAGAAAAGGGGTAAAGGAAGTTAGCTGGAGTCTTGGGTTAACTGCTGGGGCAACTAACTCTTTGAATGGCCATAAAAACTGCCACTGAACGCTCCATTTGCCCATTGGCCTTTGACAAAACACAGTAAAGTACCCCCTCTCCGCCCCACTGGTCCCTCAGGGGGCTCTGGCACTTCCTGTACGCATCATGAGTACTCTAATTTAGTGTCTAAGTGGAAATGTTGAGCAGTGGTCCAGTCCCAAGAGCGGCGTAAACTAGGGATGAAAATAGGAGCTTGTCACACCCAGTATTTTCTGTTAGGCTAATGTTAAACCCCTGGAGATTTAAAGGTCCACATTACGCAAAATTGACTCAAAACTGCATTTTGTAACTTTTCTGGTGGAGGGTCTGTCAAAATGTCTTTCTCCTTGGAGAATAGGGGTGTGCAAAAATATCGAAATATCGTATCATTTAATGTGGTATTACAGTATCGATATTGTGGGCTGCTGTATCGATATATTAAGAGTATTTTTGGTATATTTTACTAAAATATTTTGTTACAATGCTACAGTGTTGTTGCATCTTTAGAGGGAGAAAAGTAATTTATGCAACACATTTGACATATTCACTGTTCTGATGTTTAAAATGCTTTGTTTTGTTAAATGTTTTGCATAGAAAGTGGTTTAACAAAGACTTTTAGTACCACAGCCATAATTTAGCTTGCTTTATAATTGAACCGCATCAAACTGATTTGAAATATAGTCCAATGAGGTTCATTTGGTCTTCCGATAATTTATGTTATTAAGTTATTTTTTCAGATCAAGAGTCTGGGGAAGAGCACTAGTGAGCAGTCGAAACTGACTCTTGGTCTGAAAAAAGAACCTAATAACATGATTTTAAATATCGTATCGAATTGAAATGTGTATCAGCAACTTCTGAATGATAACCAGTCCTAATGGAGATGTTATTGGTTTGTCTAGAACATTTCACAGTATGGCACTAAAGATTTTTATTTTCATGGAGAACACACCAGACCAAATTACCGGTCAGATCTGTGGAGAGGCAACATGGCTCACAGTCAGAATTCCAGTTATTTTTGAGCAATAAAATCCCCCATAATTGAATAAATGTGAGGTGGAGCTGTTTAAAGGCATACTGTGGAAAATTCCAGGCAGAGCAATGACATTTCCATCAAAACACGCAAGTGCTGAACCCTCTACCAGAATGCATCTTTAAAGCCGTGTTATAATAGTGTTACCTCCTCAAAAACAGACCTGGAGTTGAGTTTTGTTTCATTCACAAATCGATACCACATGACATCACAAGGCAGAACAGAGTGTTTAGTCGATTAGTCGGTCGATGGTGTCCTACTTAGCCGACCAAAATTTGTATTTGTCGACCTTTTTTTTAAGATTATTTGGATTTGGAACCACAGCACAAAAAAAGGAATGAATGAGTGAATTATCTGAAGTACTTGGCATTTTTTGGTATGAAAAGGCAGATTAAACTCATGACTCACATGTTTAATCTGTCTTTATATAAATACAGAGTTTGCTAATACTTTTTTCTGCATAGTTTTTGCATGAACTTCCCCTGCAGGTGTAGTCTTGTGCGTGTGTGTTTGGGTCAGATACAAATACAGTGTACATAATAGTTTGAGAGCTTTTGTCCCCTTTTTAGTCAACTAGAATAGAAGAAGTTCTCTAGTCAACTACAACCCTAATAGTTTGATAAAAGCATTTCCCAGTCGTGACCCACCCAGTAGTTTATCAGGCTATTTCACAACTTTTC